TGTTTAAGTATTCTTTGTCTACTCCATGTGGGTACTTTGCCTTCAGAGAACCCGTTAATTTGTGAGCGACTGATCATTGTCCAGTCCGCGACTTACGTCCAGTTGTACCTTATTGACTGTAGGATAGCGTGGCAACCTTTTAACACTTCTTGTTTTACTTGCATCATACGAAGTAATGTAATGATATTCGATACCCTGAAAGACATACATGTAACATTTGATTTCACTTTCTTGTTAACTGATAAAATAATAAACTGACGATGATTGAAGTTACTGTCGAAACATGTATTTGAATCTCAAAAGCGTTGTCTTTTTAAAAAAAAATGTTCCTAAACTGATACTAACGACCGCATTCACCCTTTAAGCCCCAGTTACGCATATACGCGTAATTAATGGTCGTGCTCTTTGTACCACTTGTGACGTCATTAATTTAAATGTCACCAGATATTCTTGATAAGCAGATAGTAGAGCTAAGATGAACCTTTCGGTACAACGGTCGATTTTGGATATCGACGACATTCGGACGTAACAAATTGAAAAACAATGTTATCAGTTTTGGTGCAAAAATGGTGGTAAAATGGTTCACTATGCCTATAACTGATCAAGGTCCACTTCTCATAATTGCTCATAATTAAGTCCAAATTTTGGCTTATGCGCATGCACCGAATTGAAATACTGCACAATTTTGTACCTAATCTTCGGGAAATCTATCTTTTTGGTAAAACATAGCTTTTTTAAGCAAGACTTAATTAGGCCCATGTAGCGTCACGGCAGCCAAAAAAGCTGATTAAACGGTATTTTTTGGTGAAAATCTGGTCCCAAAAGGGTTAAGTCGTTTAGCGTTTCAACAGTATGGCTGGGTGTGTGGTATTCCAAGGGGAAAGAGTTTCGAGGAACAGACGGATGGCATATTGTAACCAAGCCAATAATTCTCTATTTTCACTGCACGTGACTTCATCAAAATCTAAAGTCATAAATGACAGGCAACTCTACCTTTCATCGCCTCTAAGAATCCATATCTTCTTACAAACTTTCCATCTTAGAACAAGTGTTAATGTCAATTACAGGAGGGCAGACGACCGATTAAAAACCAAAAGCATATTCAAGATAGTTCCATTTATTTTTGACTTCCATATTTGTACTTCTCCAAGGGAGAGAATTATGGCGTTTCCACGCTGGGCTCTGTAAATTCGTGTACAAAATTTTGCTGTTAATTCGGGTACAAAATACCACTGACGTTCGGAAAAGTAGATTGTCCTATTCATCGTTCATTACATTGTTATTCCATGGTTTCGATTTTACTTTTCAGTTATCCCATGAAACCTCAACCAATCAAAACTATTACTTGAATGGGGTACGACGTGATGTTAAACGAGAATAACAGTGAAACTCGATCACAAAGTAGGCTTGTTTCGTTTTCAAATTTTCGATTTCCATAATGATAAATTTAGAAAGTGGCGATACAAATCCAACGTCATTAATTCTACTGCACCTTAACAGAGAATTCACTCACCTTTTGGATTCAAGTACTTTAGATGTTTCTGTTGCTAGCGATAAGGGCGCGACGGTAGTGTCAACCTTTTAAAACCTTCGAAAGACGGTTAAGGCGGGCTTATGAATTGAATTAATCAGATCCATAGTGACGGATTCAATAAATTTTACAGCTCAGAAAGGGTATTATGCATGATACAGGTTTCTCTGTCCTAAATTGTAAACAGCTTTCAAATTAGAAAGCTTTCTTCTGTTATTAAAATTTATTTCGAAAATGTCCCATCAGAGACAAAGTAGAACCAAGAAATAATCTTCACTTCGCCAAAACGACCATACCGTTATTTATCGCTGCCTAAGCTATTATTTCTTCTTTTTACATTGCCTGCTTGGAATCACAGCTCGCATTCTTAAAAACATGACGCTCCAAGTATACATAAACTCGATTCACAACAACTTACCTAGAATTTGGTTCCGCAGAACAGCTTGGGCTGCAGGAGAGAGTAGCCTTACTGCTTCATTGCTTTCCTCTTCACAACATTTTCTTACTGTTTCTCTAGAGTGTCACTTCTATTTGCTCTACATTTCTTCTATTCTATGGCATTACCAAATGGTCTAGCTTAGTATTAT